AGAAGAAAATATTTTTTATAAAATGCATCAAAGATTTTTTTTTAAGATATAATGAAAAGTACAAAATAAATTATTTTATGAAGGTTAACTAACCAAACTCAACATTTTTGGTGTAATCATGGTATCATTAGAAATTTCTTCTTAGTTAGACATTGATGATTGTTGTGGACATTTGAGGTACTTTAGTAATCTGGATTAGAGGTACAGATGTGAGTAAACAATTAATTGTTAAATAGTAGTTTTCAAACTGAAAACTATTTATCTAATATACAAGAAACATCTTCTAATTTCAATATCAGTGTACTCTTCAGAACTGTTAGGTGATTTTTTTGCTAGTATTTGCCATATCTTTAAAGGTAATATAGGGTATCTGAATACCTATGGCCAATGTTTCAGCAGAGCAAGCATGGAGGCAATTACTGATATCACTGAAGGACATTTGATCCTGTGCATATGTAATTATTCCAGGGTACAACATGGATCTGAATGAGGTTCAAAGCTGATCTGTTTGCTTATGGTACTCTTCAGAACAAAAAATTAAAGGGGATGATCGAAGTATTCATGAGCTGTAAACTTGTTTCTTGATATTATGTCAAATAATTATTTTGTAATGAAGGAGTTGGATTTTCTAGTGATCAAAAATGGTACACCACTGTCGTATCTTACCTGACAACAAGGAATTTGTCCCTATGTTTTCAAACTGGGCATGTTCTAAAACTGCTAGCTTTTGATTCAGAATATCCCAACTAAGATAGGGCAGTTAGTTTTTCTGAACTCTTTCAACTGAAGGAATTTATTTATTTTCACTGCTCAAGATGAACTCATACCCTCTATTCACTCTTGGTTCAGCACTACAGTTCCAGACAAACTGCACATCTACTGTGTTAAGCTTTCCTCTTTGGGGGAAAAAAAAAAAAAAAAAGATATTTTTTAAAGAGAAAATATGCAATACACTTTTATTCTGGTCATAAAATGGAATTCCTGTGCTTTTTTCTATTTTCTTTATATTATAAAGAGTGATATGCTCATTTTCTTGCCAAAAGAAGCATTATGTGCAGTAGACTAATCTGTTTTTAAAAATCTCATACTTATCATTCTGCTTTAGAAGCTGTATGAACATTAAAGCTTTTATTATTTTTATTAGCAGAACACAGATAAAGCCCTTCAGAAAAACAATTAGCTATGAAGTTTGGCTGACAGTTATACAGGTGATTGTAATTGCGTTGTATGTGTAAGAAGTAAATTTAGCTCTTGACAATGGGTATCTTTGACAATGGAGAAATCCATGTGCTCACCCCACGTATTTTCTACAGTGATGTAGGAAAATTGTGCATAAGTAAAATTCTGATTTTACATGCTGATCCAAACGAAACACACTGGAATGAGCCAGCATTTTTTATGATTCAATCTTTTAATAAGATATCAAAAAAACAAAGTAGCTTTTAATAGTTCTTCGGCTTAATTCATAATCTTTTGGGAAAAAATGATGCTGTGAATCTATTCTGAATATAAAAATCTTCTCTATAACCAAGCTGTCTTGGCACATGTAGACAGAACACAGATTGCAAATAAACATACAAGTTGGGAGAAAGACTGGAAGGAGCAAACTGGGTTATGATGTCCAGTTGCTGGTTACCTGAGGTGACCGTATTATATGCCTCTCTGTAACATCACTTCCCATAAATTGTTCATAAACCTTGATCTTAAAATCACAGTTTGTTCCCATCCACTATTTCTATGTGGAAAAATATTTCAATACCTCCCTTCTCCGATGCATAGAAATTTTTCTCCAGCTGGCGGTCTAAATGCAATGCACGCATGTTATTGATATTCCCAGAAATGGCCCCATCAAGACAATTGGGTTTGGCTCCTAAATGATCCTGGCCATGCTGTGTGTGTCTGGCTGGGTTGGCAGTAGTGTCATGACATCATGAACAAAGTATCTTTCCACATTGCAAAGGCCAAAAAAAGGTTGACAGTCTATTTGTTTGTTTGTCTCATACTATTTGTTTGTCTGACATTTGTGCACATCTACAGAACTCTCAAGGTTCATGGAGGACAGATATGTATGTATTTCCCATTTTTATTGTGGAACAGTCCCTGCCAAATGCTGCCTCCAAGACAAACTAGCTCTGGGCAAACAACCCTACTGCTTGCTATTGCTTTAGTGGAACGATTTGGCCTTCAAGTATTTATTAAAGGAAATTTAAGAGTTTAAACAGTAACTGATACAGTATTTCAACAACAGAAATCAACAAAAAACTTCATGTTGCTGTAAGAGTTTTAACTTGTGGATTCCCTGAATTATACCTTCAAAGTTTCACTGTTTATCTGTTTGTCTAGTAATTGCCTTTTATATTGTGAATAGCTATGAAATTAACATTTTTGCATATTGAAAGAGGTCTTTGCTTGTATTTTTGTGGTATATCTGCATGCCTGGTTTTTTTTTTTTACCCCAAATGTCTGCTCAGTTCTTTTTGTAGTGTTTATGTATTGCTTTTCGCTATTAGCATTTGAAGATCTTTCAGCATTAACTTTTAAATGGAATCGTAGGTCATTTATCTTAGAATGCATGCTGAGAAGTAATCAATTGTAGCATCACTTTATTGATGTTGTTTTGAAAGTCTTCCAGAAAAACTCTTTGCCTTGTTCTGTAGTTCATTCTGATTGGATTGATTTATGCTAAAAATATTTCCTTGGGTTCCACAAAAGCTGCATTTTAGTGGCTGGCATCTTACTATTCTTCACTGGCAGTATAATAAAAAAAGGATAATGCTCCTCATGAAAATACTACAGCCATTAGCACAATTTAATTATTCAGATAAGTACAACGAAGCCATTAATAAGACACAATAATGACGTCAAACACCACCCACAAAACAGGAACGTTCAGTTATATTCCCATGCAGATTTAACAGACTGAAGCCTTGTTTGTGATAAGAAAAAAAAAAAAAAATTTGAACACAACAGCTGCCTAATTCTGAAGCAAAAGTGATTTCAAATTAAGACAGTCAATCCAATTTGTAAAACAGGGCAACACAGTAAAATATTTTATTCTTGTTGAATTATTTTCTATGTAATTTCTATTAATTCTGTATCAGAAAAAATTCCAGAGGCAAGACAGACCTTTATTAGCTTCAGGTGAAGGTTTCCTGCTTTAGAGGATGAATACTAATGAACTCTAAAAAAAACAATTAAAATAATCAATATGCCAAAGTAAATGCATGCAGGATAGCTGCAAATAGTTTATTAGAATAACAGTGCTATTGTATTTAAAAACCTAAGGACATCTTTGGGGAGATGAACCTGTGTCAGATGTGAAAAGAAGCAAAATTGTTAAATATTTCCAAGTATTTAATGAAACCTCTCATCTAAAACTGGCTTGCTAAATTATTTATTGAAAATCTAATTAGTAAGTGTATCTCTTAGAGCTTGGATTTACTCTTTCTGAAGTGAACCATATATATCTCATACAACAGGATATCAGAAGAATTCCAAAGATTGCAGAAATTGCTAGGAGGTATTAAAATAGCAATTTCATCTGTCCATGTAATAACAACTGCATAATTTTCCTCTCATTTACATTATGGCCAAAGCAATCAATTTTCTATGTTAAGAGACCAAAAAAATCTAATTTCTCCTGTTCCATAAAAGCTCAGCCTTTTGCAATTCATGAAGGAGAAAGTGCCTCCAAGAAGCAAATACTAGGCACCACTGACATGATTTCCTTCTCTATTTACCAACATTTTGACATCAAGTAGTGTCTTTCTGTCTATAATTTGTTGGCAGAAGTTTTTCACTTCTCAAAAGCATGAATTCATGCAAACAAATATGGCAATGGATAGCTTTTACTGGTAATGGATTCAGTCTTCTAAAAGGTACTGTGGTTTGTGCAACACCAGTAAGGGGGAGAGTAAAACCATTATTAGTCAGGATACCTAGAACCATCTAGTATTGCTCAATAGAGGATTAGAACTGGACTTAAAGAAGGTTATTTTCCTCATCAAAACAGGACTTGATATGTTGCCTTTTCCATTCCCTTTTCTTAGTTCTTGGGGGAAACTGGATTTACATGTGTGTGAGAACGAAAGAAAGGGAGAAAAAAGTATAAAAAGTAACAATTGGAAGAAAGATACTTGTCTGAAGTGAGTTCTGGGAAAGATTCCGAAAAAGCTAAAAAAGCTTAGGTAGTCACGGAGGATTTTTTCTATATTCCGGTTGATGCTTCATTTAAGGAATTAATTACCAGTGAGAGAGTGAGACAATAGGAAGAGAATAATGACTGATCATGATTAAAACACCGAATCACAGTGAAGCATCATTAACACTGGCAGGTTACTGGTTGAAGAAAATACTGAATTTCCAAGATATCTAGAGAAGCAGTGATATTATTTACATTTTTTTTTTCATTAGTAGTTAACGTATTATAATGATATATAATGTATTGCCTTAGTAAACTCCACATGTTTTGCAGCAAATTTTCTTTTAAAAAAGAAATATATAATCAAAGAAAATAAAACCCTGAAACAATCTGAACTGGACTTTTCCCACAGCTATAGGAAGCCCTTTCATCAGACCGGATTAAAATATTGCAAAGAAAGATTTGGCAGTTTAAACAAGTAAATAGTTACATCTTTCAAAAACTATGAAGCCAAGAGTTTTGAAACATAAAGTCTGTTGGAGCTGTGAGGGGAGATCCAGATGGGGAACTCAGGTCTCCGTGACCCCTCAGAGAGACCTTGGGGCCTGGAGAGAACACAGTGCACCAGTTTGAAATTGGGCAGCATCTGCAAGGAGTCATTTCAGAGGGAATAAGAACAGGGAATGGCCTATGTCCCTTGTCTTCAGAGCCTGGGTAATATGGGTCACCTTAGGTATTAGCATCTCGTAATCCTCAGCATTACTAAATGGGGGGGTAGGATACCTATTGCAGGGTGACTGGAAAAGGAAAATAGTTCTCAGTCTTCCAACACCTTACCCCTTTTTGTGCTTGCGCGCAGCTTTTCACAGCCTGTCCTCTTGCCTCTCGGGAGAGGAGCAGAGGAAATGTCCATGTTTCTGGAGCCCACCCCTGCGCGTGGCTGGGTTGAGAAGGGAATGGAGCACGTGCCATTGTGATACAGATGTGTGGACAGAACAGGTAAGACAGCTCCTGCAGCACTTAGAGGAAATATAATTGTGTCAGAATCTAGAAATAGACTTTTCAGGGAAAATACGTGTTTTTTTAAAAGCCAGATTGGAAAAGATAAATGGGGTAAAGATGTACTCTCTGCATGCTAATGCCAATGGGCTGTGCTACAGACCAGCATTTGTTTTTATTTCCCTGTTGTTAGCTATTGCAGGTATTCTCTTATGCCTGTATTTTCATATCCTGCTTTTAATATCATTTATCTGTTTTTCTCCCTTTTATTTTTTTATATTAGTCCCAGGAAATGCATTAACTGCTCTGCTGGTTTAATATTTCCTCCTTGCTTCAGGAAGATAGTTTTCAATATTTTGTGCAAAGATTAAAACATTCAGTCAAAGCGCTTGCCTTTCTCATATTTATTGAAGGACAGTATTTATATTGCCTGTACAGTGCCAGCAGTTTTTCCTAGAAATACATCTTCCATTTGGGAAATCTTAACCTCTAGCACAATAAATGCAATAACTGCCACCAGAAAACATGAGCGAGACAGGGAGATACCAAATGAGGGAAAACTGTAAGAAGACAGGTATTGTTTTTATCATATGGAGACAGGCTGTGGTTATTAACAGCTTCTAAATCCCACTGAAAGCTCATTGTGCCCAGTAAGATACAGCGTAGTTCTCCTTAAATTCTTTCCAGAAATTCAGTAAACCAAATAGTAAAGGATTAATTCTTCCATGTGCTGGGGAAAAGTAAGCAAGAAAACGAGAGGGCTGATGGTTATTAGCAATAGTATTGCCATTTAAGAATTCAGGAGGGTCTCTGAGGAGCTGAACCTGTGTCAAATGTGAAAGAAAAGGGTTTTGTGAAATAATTTCATCCCTATAATGAAATCGCTGACATGAAATCTCCCAGTTGCTAAATTATTTAGAGGAGGAAAAAGTAGTAAGTAAATTTACCTCTTGGAATCTGCCTTTGTCTTTCCTAAAATAATTGCTTCTGTATTTTCTGTTTGCATATTTTTCTCTGGAGGCTTTTTACATCCACAAATTCTGGGTGGACTTTCACTCACTATAGGCTTTTGAGAGTTTTTTTTTAAGGAGGAAACCATACAACAGGAAATAATGAAGATAGCCAACAGATTAAACTTGGAATGCAATGCCCAGTAGCAGCAACCACATAATCTTTTTGGACATGTATATTTTATGTGAAGGAAACCTGCAAGGTGTTCTCATATTGACCAGTATGGGTATCCCAGCCAAAGTTCTCCTCTCTCTGAACACTGAGCATAGGCCAAGTGGACCTTGCTAAAGGTCTTTCAAACAAGAGGTAAAGTCCAAATACTGACTAGAGCCTAGTAGAGAGGTAGAGTCCTAGTCCTGACTAGTGTCAGAGGAATTTACACTCTTAAATGCTTATTTTTCTAATGCTTCTTTCACTCAGTCAGATTTTGTCTGAGTATGGTTTGCAAGTTGAATTTCTTTGTGGAGGATTTTCTTTTTGGCTAGAGCACAGGCACAGCCTGCAGAAGGCTTTTTCTCTGGGCTTTGGAACTGACCTCACTGCAGACACACGTGTTTAAGTTCAGCTGCTTTCCAGAATTTACCTAGTTTGATCAGGACAATGACAGACCACCTGTTACTGCAAGAGCCCTTTTATACTTAACGTAACACTAAGGGTAACAATCACTTCTGCCAGTATGTCTTTGTAAATAAGTATTGATTGGGCTTTTGCCTTCTGCTTGTGTTCAAACATGGGTGTTTATGGCTCACTCGATTCTTTGCAATTTTCCTTTTTTTTCGTTATGCTAACACATTTCTCTGGTGAGCGACTGCAGACAAATCTTTTCTAATATGGTTTTCCATCTCCTGTGCAACATTAAACCTTTACACACCACCCCACACCACCCCCACCCCAACCTCTCAACTTTTCACTTCAAGTCCTAATTACTCATCTCAACTGTCTGCTGGTTGTTACTCTGTCTCTGTAAAATGTGATTGCACTTCTAACTTTATTGGTGTCATTTCTTTTCCCTAGGGGTTATCCACAGAATTTTCAATGGGCCTACAACAAATAATGACCAGTAAACACTACTGGAAATGTAATGAGAATACAGCTATTTAAGTGGGACTGAGTATTGTCAGAAGATGAAAGCTAACTCTTGGCAGAATTCTGGCAGCTGGGGAGATTTTTCTTGGTATGACTCCAAGCATTCAAAAGGAAACAATACAGCGTCATGGAAGACTGTAAAACATCAGTGAACAAGCAGTTGTCATTTCTGATAAATTAGATATCATAGCTGTATTAATTATAACAGTAGAAATTATTCATAGTATGCATCTCAACGCATATTCCTTTGGTGTTTTTCTTCAAAGAAATAAACTTATTTTACAGTGATGTTCAGTAAACTAAATAATACGCACCTAGACTAACCAGAACATACAGGATTGAAAAATGGACTAGACATTTTCACTTTCTCAAATTACTCCTCTGAATAATTTGAGAGCAAGGTTGTCAATTTTGGACTTCAGATATTTTTTTTTTTTTTGTCTAAGACCTTAAGTTATTAATCTTTTTTCAGAAGGAAATTCCAAACCAATAGATGCTTAGTTTAGTAAGCCATAAGGTTACTTGTTTTAAATGAGATATCACAAGATTTCTGTAAATGTTTTATAACCAATACTGGGTAATAATAAACAATAACTTCTACCTTGTATCAGTATTTTTTTCCATCATTAATGTTCATTAGTGATAAAAGCTGTTCCATGTGATTACAGTGTGGGATGATCTTGTAGAAATGTTGCTGGAACTGAAATAAGTAGGCTTCATCTGTCAGTGATGTGGTGGAGACCCATAAAAACTATTTTATTTCTGAGATGGATAGTAAGGAGACTTTAACAGTGCTAAAGTCCATGATCAAACTTTTTATTCCACAGGATATGCATAAAGCCATGCTGTTACTTTTATTCAGAGATTAAAAATTCATGGCTTAAAATATCTGACAAGTTGCTGGTTCAGTTGCTACCTTAGAGCTGATACTGCACAGACTTATTCATGTACCCAGATCTAAGTGCACACGTGGTTATGCTAGTTTCAAAAGGAGTATTATCAGGATTAGAGATGCTTGTTTATTTAGTGTGATGAAAAGGCCAAGGGGATTTTAATTCCTCCCTTCAAGCATCTTTCCATACCTGTTTCTTTAGATAAAGCTAGTGTTGATGAGAGAAAAAAAACCAAACAAACAAACAAACAAACAAAAAACCAAAAACAGTGCATTTTTTTAATTACAGATATTTTCTTTAAACCAAGGAATGAGGTACAAAGAATCATTCTGAAGAGGAGGCCACAGTGGAGTAAAAGGTTCACCATGAGATATGAGTAGTCTGAAAATGGTTCTAGTGCTCAGCAGAAGGGCTGATATGAAAAGCAAGATAAGCAGAGATTATGAAAAAAGTGGCATTCAATTCAATTAGCCTAGCCTGTAAATAAACTGCAGAAGTTCCTGTTGGAATTAGGATCAAAGAAATATCCATTCTTTGGTTTAAAGGTTCAGTGATGGTTCTGCAGTGGACTTTCAATAAGAGGTTAGGATTAAAAAAAAATCTTTAACATTTGTAAATTCAGAAAAAACATTTATAATGGGACTGGATGTGGTGACACAGGTTGCCCTTCCTAGTCCTGTTTGGTTATGCAGCTGCTGTTTTAAACAAATATTTACCCTCCCACCAAATATTTCTTCTTTCTTCTGTGGAATTAAAGACAGTTACCTAAGTGCATGTCTCTAATTTTCATGTCTTAGATGAGTGTACTGGGTTTGTGTGGCAAGGTTTTTGGTAGCAGGGGAGGGGGCTACAGTGGTGGCCTCCTGTGAGAATCTTCTCAAAGCTCCCCTGGCTCCAAGTCAGCCCCACCTCTGCACCAAGGCCGAACCAATCAGCTGCACCTCTGTGATAACGTATTTAAGAAGGGACCTGGGAGGAGGAGTTGGACTTGTGGGGAGGAGTTAGGAGAATGACAGCTATGTGAACAGAGGTCAGTGGAAGGAAGTGCGGAAGGTGTGCCGGAGCAGACCTCCACTGTATCCCATGGTGAGATGGCACGGTGGACCCTCTCCCACTCATGGAGGTCCATGATGGAGCAGAGATCTGCATGCAGCCTGTGGAAGACCCCATGCCAGAGCAGGCGGCTGCTTCCAAAGGAGGGTGGGATCCTGTGGGAAGAAGCAGCCCCCGCTGTTGTAATTTGGTGCTGGGAATACTGCAACACACGGAGGTGACCCACACCAGAGCAACATGGGAGCAGCTGCACCCTGTGGGAAGGACTCAGGATGGAGAAAGTTCATGGAGGACTGTCTCCAGTGAGAGAGGAGCCATGTGGAGCAGGGGAGGAATATGCATTGTTCCCCCCACTCCCTGCACCTGAGAAGGAAGGAGCGGTGAACTGTCTGTAACCGCTATCCCCTGCTCCCTGTGCCACTACAGGGAAGGAGGTAGAGAAAGCGGGAGCAAAGCTGAGCCTGGGAAGAAGGTAATTTTTTGATGTGGTGGTGCTTCTCACATTTCCACCTTGTTTGTTAATTGTTGTTTTTTTTAGTGTTTGAATTAAAGCACTGTTCTTTCTTCCCCTAATGAGTCTGTCTTTTGCCCATTACTGTAATGGGTGAGTCACCCCTCCTTGTCCTTATCTCAGTTTCTGATATTTTTGCTTCATTTTCTCCCTCCCAGCACTGGGAGGAAAGGGGTGAGTGAGTGGCTGTGTGGTGCTCAGTTGCCCTCTGAGCTCAAGCCATGACAATAAGGGCCATTTATGAAGTCTGACAAGTCCTTAATATTTTAATGAATCTAAAAGGCTTTTGTGGAACTGAGACAATCAGGAGGCATTTATTTTCATCCGCAGGTGCACTGAAAATGATAATTTATGGGAATCAAGTTTAAACTGCTACAGTTTTTCTCCTGTTATATAGCTATTGTGTTGTGAACATAAGTGAGAGTATTTACAAATTGTTTCTTAACATCAACGTGCAGCCTCACGTCACCACTTGGCTTTCTTATATCTGAGGTGGTGAAGGTTGTTCAAGTAGACCAGTCAATGCTCTGTGAGTTATCATCTCTTACATCTAAGTGATATGCTGGGGTAATATGGCATAGCAGCTGCCTCACACCCTGGTTTAATCATTATTTGATGTTGTATGAAGTCATAGTAACAATAAGTCCAAATTCAGTATCTGTTGGCTTTCTCACAGCATACTAAGTGGCTGATGATTTTTAGTTCCTAGCTGAAATCCAGCAGGGCACAAATTCTTCTGCCTTCCTTTGTTTCCAATGAACTAGATGTTTTTCAGATTCTCTGGTCTAAGAACTTTGTGGTTTTGGACATAGATATTTCCAGCTGTGCATCTGATCTGATGTGGGTGACTAAAATGTAGATCTGCCTTCCTGTCTGAACTAGGTGCCTAAAATTTATTTTTAAGGAGTGAAAAGAAATATGCACTTGTAAAATGAGATTCATATCAGGCCAGAGCAGCTGAAATGAAATATACCCTAAAATTACCTATATACCTATCTCATACTGTTAATTACAAGAAGAACCTCTGGCAATGAGGTCAGAAGTAGAAATCTACAGTTCAGAGGTCAGTCTCAGCCACATGTAACATGCACCTGGGAAGTTTAATACGTAGGTTGCCCTAATGCCTCTCAATTCCATCAGAAATTTCTAACATCCCTGGATGTGGCTTCCATCTGCATGTGCAGTCTCATTTCCAAGAGTTTTTGCTTTTTTCTTACCACCAAATGACATCAGTCCTCATCTTATTCAAGGGACAGAACTTTTCCTCTGATTCTGGGACTTCTGTGAACACTTTGCATTTTGTCCTTTTCAGATTTTTAGCTGCTCTTTTCTTACAGTTCAGAAGTATACAGAAAGCCTCTACACACTGAGAACTAACTGCTAATAGACTGGAGGAAATTACATTTTTTGCTCCCACGTGTGAAACTGTGGCCCATGAGGGTTTCCAAGAGATCACCTTCCCGCACCAGGACATTCTGGAGCACCCCTCACTTGTTTAAAAACTGTCTCTGTTTGAGGCTGTGTCATGGTTCAATGCTAGGCTAAAGTGCCTCTTTTTATTCTTGATTGCACTTCACTTGAGTCTTTAGGGAAATCCCTACCAAACTGTACAAACCAATGACAGTTCAGAAATTCCTGTTTCTGCTGCATTCTGACATGCCACTCTTTGCTTTTAGTACTTGAACTTACTCAATGGACTAGGACAGCCATGAGACGTGATCAAAAGCTCCTGATGAGAGGCTTGGATGACTGTTGAAAACCACTACTGACTTTGCTGCAGTGTCATGGCTCCTGAGAGCGTGACAGTTAAAATCTGCTATATGTTCCCATATTTTAGTCTAGATAAGCTTGACTCCCCAGGATTTCTGTACAGTGGTAGTACTTTTCAAACCATCTTTCATATACTTGCTCACAGAAATTACATGGGATTTTGGGGCACAAGTAGTACTCTCATCACAAAGAGGAGATCCTTTCTGTTTAGAGCCTTTCAAGCAAAGGTGAAGAATATAAGAAAAATGTTTCACTAAGGACCCAAGTCCTCCTGGTGAAACCCTGCTTGCACTGGTCATTAAAATGTATTATTTAGTCTTTGGTTGACATTATTCCAAAACTTGTTCAATGATAACTGTAAAATGATTTGGAAAATTTCTTTGCCTGTACGATAAAGTCCCCACATTATAAACCATCGTCACAGTCATGCCTAGCTGACACCCATGCAAGGCAGGTTCATATATATATCCATTAACTGCATATAGGACATAGGACTAGAAGGCTTGTTATTTAACAAATCTTTGTGATTACTAAATCAGCAGAATTAAACAGAGGAGGAAACACTGCTGAAACAAATTTTAAATAGTGGAATGTTACATGTAACTTTTTCTTGTATTTTATGTATGAAATACACTGTAATTCTGTAGTTTGTTAGTGGATGATATCAAAGTTGAATTTTTACAATAATTTAACATGTTGTCTCAGATGTATCAAAACTGCAGAGCTGGCATGGCTACGTAGTTGCTGTCTTCTTCTGGTATACTAACATCTCTAAAAGTAAACAGAGCATATCCATAGCTTTACTGTTCACTATAGGCTAAACTAAACAATAATCAGGCTGTGAGGTTCAGAGGTTTAAGATCAGTTTTGTCATTCTCTTTGGTATTAATGCATTGCATCAGGCAGCACAACTGCTTGTATCAAATTTACTTTTATATGTTTATACTATAATTCAGTAGTTAATACAGTTTCAGTCTATGACACAGGACATTACTCAGTGTCATTCTCTGGTGTTTCACTGCTATTTCTCTGTATAGCACATACCTGCTATAACTTTTCTAGAGGCAACTTAGTTTTATTGTTCTGTAAGCATTTTTATTCTAACCTAATAATTCTCCAATTATTTTACTTTTCTAATATATTGTTTTTTGAACTTACATTTCCAAGTCTTGATGGCCTTTTTGTTGTAGCTACTCTGAGTTTGAAAGGTTCTGCTCTTTTTAATGCAAGCAAAGAAAAATAATGGACATTAATTGGAAAAATTATGATACCATAATTGAATGAACTCTTACAGCGTCTTGCCAGAACACTGATGCAGGGATCATTTGGATGACTAATGTTGTCT